GCTCCTCCGGAGACGGCCGCGGTAGCCGCGCTTCATCACCGTCTTGTTGCTGCTGCTGCTGTCAAATAGTGGAGGTTACACGAAGCCTGAACGATTCATTTTGTCAAGTATACCTGTGGCAGGGGTAATTAACAGCTCTTAAGGGACAGTTTACAAGCACTTGCTCAATTAGTCCGATTGTTTTGTCACACCATTAATTATGTTTGTTCATGGATGAAGCTCTGATTTCTGTTTCCAGCTAGAAAGCTCATTTTTTGATAGACATTTCGAAAAACAAAGGTACCCTTTCCTAATACCACCTACATTTCCTAAGAGGAATGGAGTTCCAAAACTTTACATTCCTTACTTACTTGAGAATACTTATATGTTATTTCAAGTACATGTGACCATAGAGCTCTTGTTTTTCATTATATTAACCATCTTAGAGTTATACTTGAAAGTACATGAGCCTTGCAAGTACTTTTATTCTTTAAAAAAAAAAAGAAGAAAAGGATAAGAGTTAAATTCACCGACTGCATTCTCTTTGTATGTATTTGTTAATTAATGGGAGAGACAACAGAACTTCTTGGATATTCTGCATTTTAGGAAAAAAATACTTGATTTCATAGTTCAGTGTGTTTTATGTATTGTAGAACTGGAGTCTGGTGATGTTTAGCTGGGAAGAGCATAGATACCTTAAAGTTTCCTTACAGAGTTTAGGACTTTTTAATACTGACCAGTATTCTTTCTACTCTTTTTTTTTTCCTAATTATTTTACAATTAATTGCTCATAAGCATGTGTTAACCTTGCAAGTACATTGGCATACTAGCAGTGCCTCTGATATGTTGCCTGCTAAAGCATGGAGAAGTAACTCTAATCAGTTTAAACCTTTTTCGCTGTCTGTTTTGTATTCTCAACCTTTCAAATGGTGGTTTGAAGAATAGTTCAGGCTTTAACTTCTCACACTTAAATTTTGGGGTTTGTATTCTCAACCTTTCAAATGGTGGACAGTGGTTCGAAGAATAGTTCAGGCCTTAACTTCTCACACTTAAATTTTGGATTTTTTGTTGTTTGGTCACATTCAAAATTAAAACCTGTAGAAATGTTTATGATTTTTATTCTGGTAATTGGGAATCTTGCTATCTTGAACTTTGTCTTGAGATGATGAAATTCTTATGATATTCAATAATTTTTGTTGCTTGCTGTCTGGAACTGAAATCCTACATGTATTCAGAAAGTTCAAATTGGCCGTAATGCTTAATCATCCTTAAATACAGATGATGCTTGTTTATTTTGGGTGGTTCCTTACTGTCTGCCTCAAAAGGATGAGTTTCAGCAATTTGCAGCTTTGTTTTTCCTTCTTCAGAGCCTGACTGGCTTTTAGTGTGTAATATTGTGCTATCGTGGAGCCTCAGTACTGAATGCATATGAATGGAACTGAGTTGAGTCATTTTTAGCACTGCGCTTAATTCTCAGTAAATATTCTTGATATCCTCAGTGCTACTTCTAATAAAAGAGATCTCTGGTGTTGTACATCCCTCAGCACGCTGTGTTTCATGTGTGATTTTGGTGCACAAGAATCTCATTTTTAGTCTCCCTGAGCCTGAGTGAACTGCAGATTCAGAGCAGGCACCAGTTGTGTTTGCTGGAGATGCCATCCCGTTGTGTCTACGTGCCTTCAGTTGCGTGAGTTTTTCCTCTTTCTTCCCACTTCTGTGATGCTGTTTTCCTGGTGACCTGTTGCACACCCTTTGATATGTGGCTTCTACCTTGTGATTATTCTGAGATTACAGGCCATTTGTTCTGGAGCATATTCTTGCTGAAGTAAGCAGAAAGGTGCAAGTTTAGCAAAGACTCCAAGATGACTTGCTAGTTTAGAACTGGAAGTACAGAAATTCATGAAATCAAATTACTCTGCATGCATTTCTCTGTCTTTTTGTTCTCTCCTCTGTATATTCCTTTGGGCTAAAGTCAAGAGTCCTGCAGGGTTTCTAGACTCAGCTCTTTTGAAGTTCTTGGCCTTCTTGTACATGACTTATCTGTACCTTGTCTCTCCACTCTTTCTGCTGTTTCTAACAAGGGACTCCTTTTTTAAATCTCCCATCATCTTTGTAAGCTTTAGCAAGTGCATGGCGAGCCATGCCCATCCCTTAATGGAAGGGTAATCAAAATATTTAATAACTCTTTCTAGCCTGTTGCAAGATGCAAAATTCTCATGTCACTCTGTAAGAGTTCAATATGGTGACAAAAATATCTGAGAAGACAAGCCCTGTGTTCAGGATAAAACATGCATTTTCATACAGGTACGTATGAACAGTCCTTAGTTCCTGGTAGTATTCATAAAGTTTGCAAAAACAGAATCTGTAGATTGCCGTAAGCTTAGCATCTAGAAAAGCATGATAAAAGTAAGATAAAGTGTGTGGTACAATATTAGCTAGCTCTTAAAAATTAACAATGCACTTGCCAGTGGTAGCTCTTTTGACATAGTAATTGTGTTCCGTATTTGGCTTGCTGAAACTTAACTGCTTAAAAGCGCCATTATTCAGTTACGCCGTACAATGTGCAGAGATCCCAGGAGCTGTCATCTAAGAAGGAACTGGAAAAGGCTGTAACTTGTTCATTAATAATAAAATCATTCTCTGAGAATAAAAAGATAATTAAAGGGTTTATAGCTAAATGACTACATGGAAAGATATAAAGTGAAAGATAAAAATAGGGCTTTTTTAGCATGTTAAACTTTGGCATTGAATGTGACAAGCGTAAAATTGGTAGAAAAAGGTGTAAAATAGTAAAAATGAGACAGTGCACGTGGGAACAAGCTGCTCAATATTTATTCTGGATTTTTAAAATCCTACCTAAAAGCTAAGATACCTTCTTTTTTTTTTTCCCCTCTCACTTTCCACTGCCAAGAAACTTAGCAAGACTTGCAAGACTTGAGGGATTAATATTTCTGTAAGGCAATACTTGGGTCTCTTTAGAATCAGCTCTTCAAGATGACTAACATCAACCTTGGTGCATATGCACTGCTCATGTGCTTCTTACTCTTGCCCTATGAAGCTGTAAGGTTGGCTTTTAGAGGGACATAGGGTGAAGGTGCAGAGTGAACTAATGTTCTCTGCTATTTTCAGATGTTTTCTCTAATCTCTCCCCTGCACATACCAAATTAAGGTGGTCAGACACCCATCACCACCTTATCTGTTTTTCTTCACCCTCCCTCTCCAGTCTTCAAAAAGGATGAGAAGGGAATGACAGGCCAGTCAGCCTCATCTCCATCCCTGGAAAGGTGGTGGAGCAGCTCATGCTGGATGTTGTCTCTAAGCACGTGCAGAACAAGAAGGTGCTCAGGAGTAGTCAGCATGGATTCCCCAGGTGGAAAGAATGCTTAACCAATGTCATAGCCTTCCATGAGGGGATGACTGGTTGGGTAGTAGGTGAGGGGAGAGCAGTGGGTGTTCTCCTTCTTGACTTCAACAAGGTTTTCAACACTGTCTCCCATAACATACTCATTCATAGGCAAGCTCAAACAGTGGGAGTTAGATGAGTGGACAATGAGGTGAACTGAAAACTGACTAAATGGCATAACTCAGAGAGCTGTGATCAGTGGTGCTGAGTCTAGTTGGAGGCCTGTAGCTAGTGATGTCCCCCAAGGGTCAGCACTGAGTCCAGTCTTGTTCAATTTGCTCATCAATGACTTGGATGAAGGGAGAGAGTGCCCCTTCAGCAAGTTTGCTGATGATACAAAATTGGAAGGAGTCAGTGATAACCCAGAAGGCTATGCTGCCATCCACAGGGACCTGGATGGGCTGGAGAGATGGGGTAGAGAGGAACTTCTTGAAGTTCAACAAAGGCAAGTGCAGGTTCTGCCCCTAGGGAGGAATAACCCTCTGCACTAAGACAGGTGGGGGGCTGACCTGCTGGAGAGCCACCCTGGGCATCCTGATGAACTGCAGGTGACCATGGGGCATCAATGCACCCTTGTGGCCAAGAAGGCCAGTGGTCTTCTGGGGTGCATTGGGAAGAGTTCCTAGCAGGTCGAGGGAGGTTCTCCATGTCTACTCAGCCCGGCTGCATCTGGAGAGCTGTGTCCAGTTCTGGGCTTCCCACTACAAGAGAAAAATGGAACTAATGGAGAGAGTAGAGCATAGGGCTACGAAGATTAGGGGTCTAGAACATCTGTCCTGTGAGAAGAGGATGAGAGAGCTGGGCCTGTTCACCTTAAAGAAGAGAAGGTTGAGAGGGGATCTTAATGTGTATAAATACCTTGAGGGAAGGTGTCAAGAGGATGGGGCTAGACTCTTTTCAGTGGTGTTGAAAAGAGGACAAGAAACAATGGCCACAAATTGAAGCACAGAAAGTTCCACCCAAATTTGAGGAAAAGCTTCTTTACTGTGAGGGTGACAGCACTGTAACAGGCTGCCCAGAGAGTTTGTGGAGTCTTCGTCTCTGGAGATCTTCAAAACCTGCCTGGATATGACCTTGTGCAACTTGCTCTTAAGTGACCCTGCTTCTGCAGGTCAGTTGGACTGGAAGAACTTCAAAAGGCCCCTTCCAGCGTTAAACGTTCTGTGATTCTGTGGTGAGGAGGTAGGCACTTGTTCTTCAAGGAAAAGATGGTTAAGTGTCACATTTTGTAAGTGTGGAACCTGAAAAAATGATCCCATGTTGACAGACATATAACCTGCTTACAACCGCTGGTATGAAATCAGTTAAATAGCTTAATTCTTGCATGTGCAGTGTTTCTAGTCCAGAGCAATCATCCATAACAGTGCAGAAGTTGTAGAGTTTTCACTAGTACTGTTAGGTGGGAACACCTACACGAAGGAAGTGTCACTTAATACAAAGATCTTGGGATAAATCAGACAGTACCATATTGACTCATCCGTGAAGAATGCACAGGAATGGATTACTTCTCTAATGAAGTTTAGAATATTTTGGTTTGCTTCATTCCAGAGTCATTTTTCACCTGTTCTTCTATTCACAAAAAGAAGCAACATTAGTATTTCTCTCTTTTGTTCTACAGGCCCCTTTCTGATTCTGAACAAATTAATTTTTTAAAGAAAACAAGACTCTATATTCAGCGGGAAAAGTACGATGAAGCGGTAAGTGTGTCTTTGCTATTTACCTTCTAGAAAATTTTTATTAGAACTTCCATTTTATGTAAATATGTATTTAAATTTGTTTAACTTGAAATGAAACTAAGAAAATTGTCTTTTTTTTCTTCTAATGCACATCTCGCTTACTAAAATGGAATATATGATCATTTGAAGTCTCCAAAATTCCACACTCCATGCCATTTAGTTCTAAACAATGCTGACTTGCTGTTTTTCTCATGTCTTCTAAAGTGTTCTACTACTGCACAGTGTATTGAGATGCAATGTATGTATTCATTTCCAGTGTGAAAAGTGGTAGTTTCAAGCAGAAACTAAGGCATATAGCTCATGTTGGTATTTTTCAGGCTGTTAGTTCCATTTAAAAAAAAAAGTATGTCTTCCCCATCATAGATCCTACTTTGTTTTGTTCTTCTCTTACCTGAAGAAGCTGTTCTTGTTTTTAGTTTCACATTCCAGATTACCAGACCCTGAGAGCTGCATGTGGAAAGAACCATTCTGTACTTCCCAGTTCTTATATTGTTTTCAAAGCATTTGCTATAAGTCACCCCCAGACAAGGGTTGTGATGATCATGGTTCTGCAGTGCTTGTATTCTGATGTTCACAGAAATCATTTGTAGAGTTAGGTGATACAAGGAATTCTCAAGTTTTGACAGGTTTAGGCTAGTTACTGTCCTTTGTGTTAAAAAGTACACGGGAAGGTTCACTGTATACATTTCATCTGGCAAATGCATGTAAGGATAATTCCATTATGTGCTAGGAATTAGCTCTCCTATGTTTCCTAGTGGAATCAAACTACTATTTTATGCACAGAAGAGCTACATCTATTTTATATTTTAATGCATTTTCATTTACCTCTTTGTAAATTGGGATTACCTCAGTGGAAATCAGTGAATCTCTTTGGAGATTCATTGGCAGAGGAACAGGGTTGTGATATTTTGTTTTTGTTTTGTTTTGTTTTCCTAGTACTTGTTGGCTGTTATACGTTTACTTATAGAAAGTATTTTGTACATCGTACTGGTAGAACCTGTGATTTTGAGTGTTTTGTTGATTATATATGAGTTTTACCCCTTGTTCACTTGAGTGTTCAAGGTTACTGCTTTGATTGCTAATGCGTATTGGGTTTTTGTCTGAGCCTTTGCTATCCTCAGCTCCCTGAACTGGGAGGCAAAAGGTGGTTGTGCTGCAAGCCGCCCGCTGGGACATAGAAGATGCTTTGCCTCCTCAACTCTCTGCAGCTCTTTTCATTGCAATTGCACGTTCATGTTTGTATCATGAAGAGTGACATGATCTTGCGTGTGTTTGCCCGTTGGCAGATTTGTGATTGCTTCAGTAGCTGATGTGCCTTTTCCTATTGATTGTTGCTGGGATTTTTTTCCACTTTTGTGGCTTAAATAGGAATGCCAGTGTCCTATCAGTTTATCTAAAAACTGCAAGGAGGTGGTATGATCCATTTATTTTGGGGGACTTCATGCCATTTCAAATATTTTGTATGTAAGGCCACTTCTCAAAGGATTTTGTCAATGAGGCACACATATCTTAAAATAATGTTGGCCTGCTCCTTGTACCTGACACTTATTTGACTGGAACATATTCACTGAACAACCTCTGCTTTTCTGAAGTGTCACAGTACTTTGTGGGCACGTTATTGATTGAGGCCTGCTGAAATTCAGCTGGGACTGGAAATGAAGTGTGCCAAGAGAAAACAGCGTTATTGCTTCTGCTGGGAGACAGATATCAAATTTTCATTAACTGTGCCTAGACTTACACTCCATACTGAGTCAATTATCAGAGACAATAATATAAGAATGGTAGTGTATAGCAGGGTACACATAGTAAGCATCATCCTGTATGTTCAACTTGTTTCTTGGCCCCTATTCTTGTTTTTATCCATAGTGCTCTAAGACAGTCCTGTATGGCCAAGTCGTACAGCTGGGTTTCCCACCTTTGTGGGAATTGCAGGTGTCAGGAGATCAGAGTTAACCCGGTGCCCCAGATCAGTCTCTGAATTTACCTCTCATGTTTTGGCAAGATGCTTGAAGTATTTGCTGCTGCTGGAGAGTGTCCCTCCCAGCAGGGGATATTTCAGGCTGGAGAGCAACAAAGTTTAACCCCTACTCCTTCTGCCATTTAAATGTTGTGCCTTAAGAAGTGCGTAGCTGTCTTGTGGCTCTCCCCTGGTGGAACACGTACGGCCAAGTGCTCATTGGAAAAACAAGCAGGAGTGGAGTTTGCAATATTCTAACCTTCTGCTTATGTGTTTTGTGTCTCTCCAGGTATCTCTGTGCAAAACCCTGATTAACCTTGCTTTGGAAGGCCTGTCTTACTACCATACTTACGACAGATTATTCCTGGGCCTGAGCATTGCCATGGGCTTTATGGGCTGGACAGCCTATGTGATTTTGGTGATTGTTAAGACTCATACCAATTTGGCTAAGGCTGCCCAAAGTCATGGCAAGGTAGGTCAGAAACATGCAGTGTTTTTCGCTATCAGTTTTCAATGTCATATGTATGCACAGTCTCCCAGTGGGGATCGCGAGACACCTGGTTCTCTTGACTCGTGGAGATTGGCAAGCTCCCCACTCTTCAGTTCCTTGATGAGGATCAGTATTCCTGAGCACTGCATGTCTGCCATACTGTCTTCAAGTGGGCACAGTGCATTGCAAGGGATAAATGTTGGAAAAAAAAAGAAGGGATAGTTTTGGATCAGAGCCAAACCATGATTTTGTTGCCAAAAAAATACAGGTAGCCTCAAGCTTTCATGACCTTCAGCTCTTATCTGAAGAATCCTCTTCTCACAATTTCTTTCAACCCACATCTGGAGCACTGCTATTTCTTCCTGTCCTCTGCACTTTGCTAAATATTAATGCAAATGCAAACAAAGACAGTGATTTAAAACTATTAGAGGGTCTTTCTTTAAGCAGAAGTCAGTTTTCGGCATTAATTGTGGAACAGCTGACACTGTTTGGAAGGATGGATGCTACAAATATATTTTTGTTTTTATTAAAAGGTCATTAAGGGCCTGTTATTAAAAGGTCAAAAAGTGTTTGGCATATAAATTTTCTTTTGTTCCTTTGTCTCATAGCAATCTAAAATCAAATCTTCTGAAGCTGAGAAGCAGTTTCATCATCACATTTTCAAAATACAGAACGTATTCTAATAGAAAGGTGAACTGTGGTTTCACAGTTCATCTTACTCTCTTGCTTCTTGCAATTTGCAGAGAGCAGCAGAAGACATCAAAGATGAAGGAGTTCTTTTTTACAAAATTATTATGGTTTGATATTTCACAAAGTACAAAATCCTAGGAAATTCATTTTTCTTTCACTCATTCATCAAAAAAAAGAGATACCTCAAAGCTGAACAGGCTAAAAAACACTAGAGGAAGATTAAAGCCTTAAGGAGAAGGAAAAAAAAAGCTCAAACTTCAAGAATTTGTTTCAGAATAAAAGGAGTTGTTTCAATTAGATATTGTAAAGGAGAATGAGCACTCACTTAACATCTTTACTACCTTCAGTAAATTACTCAGAAAATTCTTATCATGCGATCCTGAGGATTTTACTGCTGGCTGAAATGAGATATTCTTGGCCTTTAATGAAAATGATCAAACAAAATTGAAATGGAAAAATATTCATAAGTGCTATACGCTGTGACTTACATTTTCTTTCATCAAATAACTGAGAAGAAATCCAAGATTCTGGTTACATTAGGTATGAACAAAATAATTGTAAGAAAATAGACTTGAGTATACTAATAACAACATAAAGCAAAAGCCTTGTATTTTGATCAAGAAGAACAAGGAAAATGTTTGTATTTTTAATCAACGTCAGATTTTCATTTCTCAAATAATTTGATATATACATTTTTTTTCTTGTGTTTAAGAAAATTTTTATTCCCACGGCACTTGTACAACAAATTGAGATTTTTGATGTTCTTTGTCTATAGATTTCTTTTTCTCTAGTTGTAGTAACAGGCCTTTTTCTGTAGAAGCCATTTTAATCTTAATGCTCCTAAATACTTAGGAAGTCATAGTGTGAGACTAATGTGTCTTATATGGAAGTTACTTGGTTTATAGCTGATATTGAAGCTACTTAAAGAATTTTTCTATGGTAGATTTTTAATCTACCATTAAAAAACAGTCTTCTGCATAGCACAGACAAAATCTGATAGGAACTTTTGAGTAATGAAAATGCATATTCTGCACATGTCTTCTACAAAAATTTTTCTTTTCTTACAGTGCTTGTGAAAAAACTTCTTTTAAAATGGTGTGTTGTTTCAGTTCATGAGAAGCTCAGCCTTTTAACTTACTTTTAAAATTTCACAGAAAATGCAAATCTTGCTTCTGTCTTCAGTGCATGATCCACTATTGGATTCTGTAATATTTATATCTCTATATGGAATAAAATGTTGATCGTGCGTTTACTCATTCTCTGACAGATTGTATTGTGTGCATATAATATCTATACATTTTCATTCTGTCCGTATGTCAGCAAATGTGAAATTTAAAACTAATAGACTAAAATTGCAGTAGGTCAGCTTTCAGTATGGCATACTTTATCTTTCTTTAATGGCTTATCTTACCAGAAATTCTGTTTTAGAAATTATTTAGCTCTTACACTCGCTGTCAGTTTAGATCAAGGCAGCTTTATATCAATTACAGTCTGGGGGGAGGAACAGAAAAAAACGATAACATCTTGGTGTGAACTCCTAACTGAGTGTCTGTCATCTCAGCTTAGACAACACTGCTGCGTGTTTGTCAAGTTAACTCCTTCAAAGAAACAGAAAGGCCATTCAGGAGAAAATAAGTTTCTTCTGTCGTTGGCTGCACAGTAGACTGACAGCGTCAGTTACTGAGGCTGCCCTTGCTGTGTCAGGGTGCAGTACATAAAAATAGGAATGTTTATTTAAAATCTGTGCATAATCTTCCATCACCGGTGACACTTCAATACTCAAATGTTCCTAAATTAGGAGTGGTTCGATGGTCAGGTAAAAGGCAGATGGAGAATCTGTTTAATATTCCACTTCGTGTAGATGAGATACTGCTGTTAACCAGTGCTGTGTTAAGGATTAGCCTGTCTGCTTGAGAGCATCCATTTCAGACTTTCATATTTCTTTTTGATATTCCTCCTTATAGCTCATGGTTTAAGACGATGTTTGTGTTAGTACATGGTGGGAAGAATCTCCTAATCTCACTGAAGTCTTAAATGTTTTAAAAGAAACCCAAACTTGGCTTTGTAGTTCAGGACTAAATATAATAACAGGGCTAGTTTTGTTTGGGAACCTTTTAGTGCATCTCTCTAAACTACATTCAGCTCTAGTCCTCTGTTCCATATGGAAATTTTAGGATCTCTGAGTTAAGGCGACCTCTTTTCTGCATCTCTAGCACAGCTGGGCGCTTCTGCGCTGTAGCAAGCCTTAACAGCAGAAGCGTTTGCAAAGTCGGTGCCAGCAGGCAGTGCAAACATGGAATTCCTTCACGATTGAAGCAGTCTCTTTCAAATACACAACTTCAGCCCCCCAGTTTGTACGTGGTGATGGTCAAGTGCTCGCCGTTGAGGCACTGGCTGCCTGCAGCAGCCCTGCTCCCACACGGCCCTGTGCGGCCCCTGGCCCGCGGCCCACCTTTGGGGATGGGCTTGCCTCACGGAGCCGCTCCTGTACAGCTGGCCCCGTTTTGTCCTCACATCCTTGGCAGCAGGTTGAAATCAGCACTAGTTCAGCTTAATCCACATGGCTGGAAGCAGCAGCGGGATCAGGAGCAGCTTGGGGAACGCTTAGCTGTGGATGATGGCCAGAAGCAGGGGGCTTGGGAGATTGGTCAGCTGCTGTGGGGCAAGTGAGAGGGCCTGCTCTCCTGCAAAAACTTCTTAAAATCTGTCCCTTAAATCCTGAAAAGACCTGTTTTATCCCATAGGTGTTAATGTGTTGTATTTTAATTTAGTTATTTCTCTTAAAAGTAGCTCAAGCAGAAGTGTGCTAATGGAATTTTCATTAAATATTTTGACCATAATGCTGTAAACTTACAAAGTAATGCTCCAAATCTATACATAGTATCTAAATGTAAAAGAATCTTTTTTTTTTCTCCCAAGGCTCCTCCAACCTCCCCTGGATTTTAAATATCTGTTGAAATTAAGTCACGTTGCTTGCACAGATTTTTTCAGATGGTATAAACGTGCTTTGTTTGCGTAGTTTGCTGCAGGGCCCTATGCAGAAACTTATTTAGAATTAAATTTTTAAATTCTACTCTTAGTTTCCTGTCTGGATGAAAACTGTGTGTACATATACACCAGACAGCTTGAGTGGCTGTTAGAATTGAACCTGCTTTACTGTGGAAAATACACTTCCACTTTTACTAGTTTAAACCATTTTAGTGCTATTTCAGGAATGTTTGTCGAATCATTTGTTTTTCAGGAATCCACTATTCTCTTGTACAGTTTTGCGTTTGTTGGAACAATAATAGCTTTCTTCCTGTTAATCCAAACATGTCCTTGGACCTACTACATATACTGTCTGTTGCCAGTGCTGGTGTGGTATGCGGTTGTGAAAGAGTAAGTAAAGACTGCATGTTTTACAAACCATGCTTTATAAAGCCACAGCTATGCTTCTTTTTATTGACAAATTATTTCTGAAGAGTTGGACAAAAATTGTTACATGCAATTTTTTTTTCAACTTTGTGAAATGTTTCCTAGTATGTTCTGGGATGCCCTGGTTCATATTTCAATTGGTGTATAGAGCAGTCTCCAAACTGACTGATACAACTGCCAAATCAAGATAATGTCTTCTTTATAGCCAAATTTAATCAATGTCTTTACAAAACAATTTTTTTCACTACTTTGGTAATCATAGAAAAGGAAGCTAAAACCTTGCATTGTGGCAGCTGCCTTTATTTTTATTTTTATTTTGTAAAATGGGACAAGTTATTCCTTTCCTTAGGTAGTTTTAAAATTGTCTGATCCTGCAAACTGTCAAGTCTTCTGAACTCCAAGAGTTTTTAGAGAATATGTGCCAGTCATGTTTAGGATTGGACTCTGATAATGTAACAAAAGTGTCTTGCTTGATTCTGCTTTAACCTGAAGAAATGTCCCAAACATAAAAGAATTTGGTATTTTCTGATTGTCATTGCTTGCCTAATCTACTGACAATTTTGCAGATAGAAAATAGGTATTATTCAGGGAAAGTGAGACCAACTGCAGGTAGGTAATGAGCTCCTTCGTAAAGTAGTGAAGAAGCTAACAAGGGAATGTTTTCTTCTGAATGTTTTATCAGTTATGATTGACATTAAACACAGCAGAAGTAGAAATGTTCATAAACCTGCAGACAATTTGGATAAAGAGTAATTTGTGGCTTGTCCAAATGCAAGGGAAGATGAGTCAAAAATGGGATGGAAAGAAACCTGAAAGGTTTTTCTGCTTTTTGTTTTTTAATCAAAGAAAGCCAGGCAGAAGGGCTCTCAAGCAATCACCTGGTCTGCTTCCTAGATGCAGACAGGGGCACCAATGCCTAAGTCATTGCTCATGCTCTGATCCCTTCTGAGAAAAACTCCTCTGCTTTTTTTGTGCTGCTAAAATACTAATTACCTTGTGCCATCGTTTTAAACAGACTTCATGTTATTCAAAACGTTGCTGCAAATCTCTCGTCGCTTCCTGTTGGCCAGTCTGTGGGATTTCTATCAGTTTGTGCACTGGGAATTGAAATATTAGTAAGTATTTTATTCATATATATTAGCAGAAAATTTCATTGCTTGAATTTATCCATTTGAGGAATTTCAAGTCTTATTATCAGTGTGTTTATCAGTATTTTGTTGAATTTATTTATTTTTATTAGGTTTTCAGCTTTTTCTACCGCTCCACACTCGCTATTGGACTTCTTGTTTTGGCTGGCTGGCCCGTGATCACTCAGCTGTATGTTCAAGCAAAGGTACTGCATTGCTTTGCTACAAAAGGCATTTTGGATGACCGACAGATGATGGCGTTTTAGGACGCAGTGACTGACGTCTTTCCGAATGCAGCTTCCGTGTCTTAGTCATGATCATATAGATCTGTCTGATGAGCAGCATGTAGCAAGGCAAGAGGATGCAACACGATCTGGATTGATCAGTTGTATACAAGACAAGTAATGAGGCTGTTCAAGAATAAAACTTGCTGATTTGATTGACATTCTGACTGACAGCTCTCCTGCATTGTAGTCAGCATTGCATTTAGGCAAGAATAATTCTAATCCAACAGGCTAGTCCAAAATTCACTGTCTTGGGTTGATTTGTCATGCTTCTGACCTCATTTCAAGATAGCCATCAGTAAACTATCAAAGCTATCTTTTTGTTTGTTTGTTTTTAATGTTGGTGATGTCATATCTAAACATATTTGGATTAAAATCTTTAAAGTAACTTGTCATTTATCAGATTGTCATGGTGACAAAAATGTTTCACCAATCCATGATTGGTGAAAAAAAGTATGATTGTTTATTGAAAAAAAAAATTTAAGATAACTGAAAAATGCTTCTCATTTCTTTATTGTCTGCAATCATATGGCGTGTGTTGTTCCTCAGAGGCAACTTGCTCTTACTCTTTTTCCCTGGAAAAGCTCCACTTCTATAAGTATGGATGTGAAGTGGCACAACTTGTATGTTATATTATATGTTATAATATGTGAGATGGTTGTTCAATTAGTTTATTCAAACCTCTGTTATTTCACAAGATACCTAAAGCCTAGAGTTCTAGGTATCTAGGTATTAGAACTAATTAAAAAAAAAGGCAAGTTGTTAAGTCTTGCTCTGCAAGAACTATTGAGAGCAAGGTTTATATTTACTTATTTACTTTATATTATTACTTATTTTTTACTACATTTGATTAATCAAGGTGACACAGAAGAGATTTTGTGGCACTGAACATTACCTTTCAAGCACTGGAATCGGATTTGAGCTTGAAAATTGTAAGCAAGGTTGCTCATTAGCTTTTTTATGTTTATGTAAAACATTTAGAATAGTTAAAACATTGAGAATTTAGAATATTATTAAGAATATTCTTATTTACAATAAGGTAACTTTTTTCCTCAGGCAGATAGAATTAGAAAATCAGATGATTATTGTGGTTAAATCAAATGGCCTTCAGATTAAAAAGCTGGAAAATGTTACTGCTTTAATAGAGAAGAGCTGATTTGTTAGCTGTGGCAAACTTCTGATGAGATTACCTTCTCTTTTTCCTTTCTTCTTAAGGTTACTCATCGGCTCTCTGGTGATTGCAAAGTGTGTGAAGGCCGTACTTTGAGAAAGTGCTTTTAAGTACAAGCTTAGCTTTAATTCTCATTGTCTTTGATAGGATTTTGACATCTGTTTAAATTAGGTTCTTTTCTGTATTAAATTGAACTGCTGTAATACAACTGACCTTATGCTCTTTTTTTCAGTTGATTATGTTCTTGATAGATGTAGGTTTTTTTTTTCTCTTTTTTTCTTAATCTGTGGGAGATGTTAGTAACTGGTAGTAGTTCTGTGAAGGCAAGTGTCTGTTCACATGACCTCCAAAATCCCATTTGTTTGTTTCTTCTAGACAACAACGTTGATCTGGATTCTTCTGTGTGTGCTTCTGGCAATATTTCCTTTAATGCCTGTTGTGGGAAGAGAACCAAACATTCCTCTGGTGTAAGCATCTCATGCTGGCCTTTAAACTTTTTACTTCGCTCTTTGATAAGCACAGTTTTTGGGGCTGAGTTTTGATATATGTGAGGGGTTGTATTATTGGAAATTGGCTGAGACAGGCATTGAAATTTGGAATTTAAATAGCATGATTATAGAGACGTCAGTTATTCACTAATATGGATGAGAATAGACTTCTAATTTTCCTGCAGTACTTCACAAAAGCCACATCTATTTGCTGTTTGCATTGTTCTGTAATTTCTTCTGGATGGAAACATTTCTCGCAGTACAAAAATTTGCAAATTGTACATGAAAATAAAGATTGTCATTAAAGGAGGATTTTCACTGGGGCGCCAGCATGGTAAATAGCACTGACATACAGAATAAGAACATTTAAAAAGCAATTTACTTTGACAGCAACTTTCTGAATTCCCTCATCTAATTTTGAATATTTTTTCTTTGAATAAAAGTAATTAATGGGTTATTTAGCGAAGTGAGTGAATAGGGTAGGAAGAACTCCCCGCTTCTTCTTTCTCTGTTTTGTGTCCTGTCTTTCTACTTTTGCTTCTCTTTTCTACATTCTGTGTTTACTGCTGTTGCTTTTCTGACTGTTCAACATTGGTGGTTGATTTGCTTTTTCTTTCTACTGCATCTTCCTTATCCCTCCCTGTCCTTTTGTGACCTACTCTTTCATCATGGAAGTCATTTTTTCATAGCTGGATGCAGTCGGTTTGTTGGCCTGAAGGAAGCTAATGGTATTATTGTAGTTCTTCAGAAAAAGTCTTGAATTGTCTTGAAGCCTTGAGCCTAGACTGCAACACTTTGTTCTGTTGTCTGACAAAAAATGCTGTGCCCCATCAGCGCCAGGGTGACTGATCCCCAGTAAATTACAGGATTAAAGCAGTGATATGTGAATGCAGATAGAATTATAAGCCTAGGTGTTTTCAAAGGCATTGACATTCTGCTTTGATATTTTCCACAGTGATTTAAATCTGCCTGTTGCAAGCCCTTCATAGTCTTGATGTCTGGGCATGTTATACACATACATGAGAATTGTTTTGCCCATTGCAGTCTCCTGGTCATTTATGCACATTTATATGTTTCTGCTGGTCCAAACAGAGCTTGTTTATTCCCAAGAACATTTGAGTACAACAACTTAGAAATCAAACTGGAATTAACTGACCTTCAAGTCATTTGTCCCACCATTTCTTTACATTCATTTTACCTGGCTATACACTTTCCTATTTATTCTTCTAAAACAACAAACATCAAAGCTCTGAAACTATTTGTGCCTGCTTGAATCTTGTCTAGGGAGTTCTGAAGTTGAAAAGACTTGAAGCAATAATGAAGATACAAATATATATGTGTGTGTGTGTGTGTATGTGTGCGTGTGGTGGATGTGACATTGTGGGATGCTGAAGGTAAGGAGATGTTGGAAGACGAAATACAGGAGGGAGTAATTAGAGTGCCAGTGGAAAACAGGTGCACTTACTGCATGTGCCCTGGAGCAATAGCACCATGTGTCCGGTCAGGGCTTTTTCAGTATGTTAATAAAACTTGTATGGGATAACAAGGAGCTGCTGATTAAGCTCAAACATAAAAAGAAAGCACACAACAGATGGAAGGGGGGTCACATGACCCAAAAGGCGTATCGAAACTCTGAATGTGCAAGAAATGAGATTGGAAAAGCCAAAACCCATCTGGAGTTAAGTCTGGCAGGCAGTGTGAAGGGAACCCAGAAGGGCAGGAGCAAAAGGAAGGCTACGGAAAATGTGAGCCTGCTGCTGAAGGGGATAGGGCACCCAGTGGCAAAAGGCATGGAAGAGGCCAAGGTACTTGATGCCCGTTTCACCTCAGTCTTTACTACTAAGACAGCCTTCAGTAACCCAAGGCCCTGAGACTCGTGAGAAGGTCTGGAGCAAGGAAGGCTTTCCTTTGGTAGAGGATGGATGGGTTAGGGAACGTTTAAATGAACTGCACGTGCACAGAAGTACAGAATGCACCTACAAGTGCTGAGGGAGGTGGCCACCGTCACTGCAAGGCCTCTCTTAAAAATCTTTGAGAGGTTGTAGCAGTGGTGAGAGGTTCCTGAGGGCTGTCCAGTTCAGCTATTTCCATACCAAGATTGTAGCATGATAGGGAAATGGATGCAAAAGTTTTTGCTGCCTTTACTGTTCCTCTGCTTGATGACTGAAGGCAGGCAGTCATGGGTGGTATTAGTATGGATCTTTTAGTGAAGCATATTTGTTATTTTGGAACAGTGTAATAATTAGCAGATTTCTTTCAGTAATGCGAATCCACTATTCTGTGATTACTTGATGAGTTGTCACTCAGCCTTCCTGTTAATCATGCCTTTATACCACCATTACTAGAAAATGTGTAGTGAATTTTAAAGGCAATTTTCCTGCAGGATGACAAACCTTGAAACCATTAACTTTAGTTCTCTGACCACTTTATTTCATTCAAAGTCTTGTTTGAAGGTAATTGAAAGTAGCTAAAAATATAGGGTGCTGATTTGGTGACACATAGTGAAGATGTATTGGAATAAAAAAAGTACTTCTGCATTTTATTTTTCCAAAATTGAATGTTGAAGTAGTATTCATTCATTTCATCTGAATGAAGAGCATACCCATGAAAGTTTATTGATTTGGGATTTTTTCTTTAAACTTTGTGAGATTTTCTTTTTCTTTTGTTTTTACAGAACAGCAGCTGGTTTGCTGACTCTTTTGATCTCTTGCTCCTCCTTAGCATCTCTTTGTAAAAGCAAAAATAAATGTGTGAATAACGAAGATCTGAAAGTACACCTTTATCAGGTCAGTTGTTGCTTTTCAGTAACTGTGAACATTAAGGTGTTTTTGCAAGCATGCTGTCTAAGCATCCGTTCCTACCATGGCTACAGTTTTCAAGAAGAAAATGACTGTTGCTCAGAGCCTCGACTGTTTGTTTTCAAGAAGACTGTATGCTCTCATTATGTTTATGTGTACTGATCCCTAGCTATGCACACACATCCTGATGCTCTACTCTGAAGGTCTGAGACTTTGTCCTGCTTTCAGTCTGTAAATATAAATTCCCGTGACCTTTGTGGTAGTTTCACACATGGGCCTAGGACATGCCTGCTTGTTCAGGGGAGTCTTTGCTGCGTCTGGGTATTGTATGAATTGTATGAAACTGATACAGAGCTGTTTTTTTGTTGTTTGAATCTTTTGAACGTGCACTGCGATCTGCCCTTATAGCCTCCTGAAGTAGGTAGATCTTTTTCCTAGCAAGTGCTAGTTAAGTCCTAGAGAGCTTTGGAAATTCTAATAGTGCTTCATGTCTGCCGTCCTCATCTTTTTAAACTTGTTCCAAGATAATGGTTTTACTTCAGGACCAGTAATGTTTCTTAAATGCTTTATCGGTTATGACTTGTAATGTGTTGGAATTTCTCATTGAGCTGAGCAATGCATTCATTATATCAGTAATTTAGAGGCAGGGATCAAATTTGTTCAGAGGAGAGGAAAGAAAAATGAATGCTTATAATGCCTTTAACTATGTGCATACACATTTATAATGTGGTGGCTGTTTCTGTTAAGTTTTCTAGCTTAGCTTGTTAAAAGAGGTATCCAGTCCTTCCTTAAACATTTAAAGCAGACGATACTGAAGACAGTCAGCAGTGCTCTTCTCACTGGATTGCCTGAATACAACTGCTATAGAATCTAGCAGCTAGAAACGTAACTTGGTGTAATAGTTTCCGAGGGGGGTTGAAAGATCTTGTGGGAATAGACATGTAGATGTAGGGTACAAGACATGACAGACTGTACTTGAGCCAGCTTTACAAAGTCAGGAAGTTCTGTGAGCCCTGAGATACCTAATTAGATGAAAGAAAAAAAAAAAAAAAACCTGCCTGCTTGTTCAGGAAGAAACATCTTCCTTTCTTTTACAAAAGAAGTAAAGATCCTCCAGTTGGTCTTTAGTCGAGATATTTCACAATAGTGCTGTGTAATAGTGGTGGGTAACACAATAGTCTTTATTGGATTTTAATTTCAAAAGCTTTCATAGGGAGGGAAATGGTGGGGACTGCTGTTCACATCCTGAGTGCAGGAGGGATGGGAGGGCAGGGTAATTCAGATGCAGAGGCAGGTGGAAAGAACCTTGCAGAGGCTTCACACCTGTGCTCGTGAGCAATGAGCTTTTCTTCAGGGTTTAAATGTGTTTGCCCTGGAGCATACCAGAGTGCTGAGAGATGCTTGCCAGAAGATTGCTCCTATTTTTGGAAATAGAATTTGCCTTTTCTCCCTTTGCTTTTCCTTTTGGGCTGGAGTTCTCAGTGGGAGGAAAATCTCTTCAAAAATGCTGATTTGGAGCATTTTGAACACATGAGTTTTGATACAGAGCTGCTGGGCAGGCTTAAGGCTAAGCTGAAACTTCTCATCAGACAAGAGACACCTATTTTGAAATGACAGTGATCAGGATATCAGGGTACTGACATCCATTCACGTGAACACGCACAGTTAGGTTCCTGCCCTGCTTCTGACAAGGGGATTCTTAGAAACAGTTTTCTCACCTTTCAGATATGTCCTATTAGGAGGCAGTTGTAAAAAAGTTACGCTTTTATCTGATAGAAGGTTCCTACCTAGACAGGAAAAAATGAGATTGGTGGTTTGAGGGTTTTTCATTCTGGGGAGTGAGAAGATAGCTAAATCTGCTTCCGTGCGTTCTTGTGTGTGTCCTGTTTCCCTGGCAAGTGTTGGCTCAAGTAGAAGGGAAAACATGATGTCTCTTCATTGATGGTCTTGATGGCATGTCTTGGGATTCCTTAACTACTCAGCTGACCTCTTTTATTGGTTCAGCTCTGGACCAAAAAAAAAAAAAAAAAGGCACTGAATTATGCAGTGGGATAGGAATCTCTCCTGTTTTTTTGCCTTTT